TTTAAACTGTCTGTACATAGCGCCTAGTCGTTTTCTACAATTTAGTACAACATCTTCAATATGTTCGCGCCATCTCAGATTAGAACTGACTTTAAGGCCTAAGAGTATAAGGGAAGGTTGATGTGTTTAAGAGTGTTTTATGTACGTTTGCGTTGTTTTCAGGATCGACCGCTTTGCCATTAGTGACTTTCAGGATGTAGCAAAGATCAGTTCGGTTCTGTTTGACGCACAGAGGATTGGGGCTCAGCCATTCCGCCTCATTCACAGGATGCTAGAATGGTTCTAGCAACGAACTAGTTCGAGCGATAATATCCACGGGTATACACTCTCTGGAAGTTCAAGCGTGAATGCTCGATGCTCGACATACGGCAAATGCAACCTTATTGGAAAAAGTCATCATTGAATGAACTAAAAGGCATCAGTCTTTCTCACATTTAATTTAAGATCATTTTCAATCATATGATCGAATCAGAATTGCGAAATACAGCGAAGTGGGGCTTAATTCACCTGAGAAAATGTTTCTCAAAAGCAAACTCCAAAGCTTATCGAAAACTAGATAGTTTAACAGTATGACTACGGCCTAGGAGCTGTTCATGTATAGTAATAGGACAGTGGGCCGAAATTGCTCTGTAATTGCTTTCTCTGACTTTGGATTAATACTGACTTTTCCTTTTCAGATACAGCTTATGGCGGGTATCGTCCCATTTCGTCGATTAATTAATTTTTTTTCTGCCTTGTCGATAACATTGAGGCGGGGATAAGAAATATGTCTGTGAGCCGCCGACACTATAAAGTGTCGACGAAACGGGACTGAATCCTTATGGCGTGATGGAAGCAACATCTGGTTGGTGAAAATATTGAAAATTGATTTCACCATGTTCTCGAAGAAAAGTCCGAGTAAAACATGGTGGAATCAAGCATAGCGAGCTAAAAGCCTTCCACAAAGCTAGAGATCGATTAGGCATGCCTTTCTTCGGGTATGCCCTTGAGCAAAAACGTCACTAGGTCGCCGTTCGAAGCAGTTTCCCTCTTTAAAAACGGTGTACTACGTGCCGTGTTCGAAAAGCGTCACGTTTACGGCCCGTTAACGTAGATTTAACGGGACGTTAACTTGGCCGTTTTGAACGGCCTGGGATGTATATGTAATCACACAGATATATCTGTGAATAAAAAGATGTGTAGAAAGCAAGACTATAATGGAATTTGACACCAAATGGAAGCGAAAAAGGGAACGGATTAGCAGCTGCAGCAAACAGCACAAAATCAGATGAGATTCTGCAGTGATCTTACCAAATCGTATGATAAGATACCTGTACAATCTTATAAGATCTTATATGATCTTACTGTAAGATCTTGTCAGAATCTTACTGTAAGATTCTATAAGATGAATCAGTTTCTATGATTTTCCATAAGATTTTTATACGATCTTGTACGATTTTTGTCTGATATTAGAAGATCATACAAGATCATACTGTAGGATCATATAAGAATCTTATAAGAACTTACAGTAAGATTCTTTGACCTGGGATCAAAAGTATGAAAGCGATGAAAAGTATGAAAAGTAGAATACAACATTTCAACAATGAACTGATAACAGCCATATGCACACTCGTCGGTTCCAAACACGCATTCTCAACACCATATCATCCTCAAACCAATGGTCAAACCGAAAGATTCAATGCCACGTTTGCAACACAATTATTCAAGTACTGCAATGAAGAGAAAAGCAATTGGGATATTTATCCACCATCAATCGTTTTTGCATACAACAACACTCAACGTCGTACAACTGGGTTCACACCCTACCAGCTCGCGTTTGGTCGTTTACCTCGTAATCCATTTGATTCACCATGTCCGGATTTTAAATTCCGACGACCCAACGATTATTGGCTACAAGTTCAACGTTTCAGAACATATGCCACTCAAATGGCTCGCAGAAATATTCAACAACAACTATCAAAACAACGCTATGATCAAAATCGAAATAGTCCGTCTTATAACATCGGTGATTTAGTTTGATTCAAAATACTCGTTGGCCTCTCTAAGTTAGATGAAAGGTTTCGTGGACCTTTTCAGATTACTCAACAGCTTAATTCGCTCAATTATACGTTAGATGATGGCACTGCAACATTCACAACACACGTTAACAACTTATTACCTGTCTATGAACGACAAGTATAAAGAATATTTCATTATTACGTTAATCACATACTTGCTAATTTTTTTATGTTTCATCCATTCTTTACATTCATTTATTATTATCCCTATCTTCATTCCTCTGATAACACATACATACGCACTTATACATATATACTCTTTCCTTCGCAGTGCTCATGACATTCTCACTCTTATTCTATTTTCTTTCACAACGTTCGTGTTCATCCTTTAATCGAACATGGTCGACACATTAACAATATTACTAATTATTCTCGTAACTCATCTTCATCCAGCATGCTCGTTCAAGTAAACAACAAAATGAATAGTCCAGTTGCAAGTCACGATGCACAGGTTGCTCAAACAAAAAAAGATCAAACCTCATTTAATCCAAACAGTTGGTCACACATTACAATTGTAGGTATTATTTTGCTTGCGGTTGGTACATGTATATGTGATTCTGCTCTCTCTGTTCTTATTGTGGCTATAAACACTTTCGCCGATATCGTACACGTCGCGCCGCAAAAGACCATCAGACAATTCAACATTTGAACAAATCTGGATTATTATCTAATATCCCAGTTTTAAACCATCTAATGTCTACAGCTGAACAACGTACTCGTCCACCACCGTTACCACCAACCACAACATCAAATGTTCAACAACAACCGCTATCGTCAGCAGAAATTGGTAAATTAGTTTATTATATACAACAGAAACAACAAAAATCGTTGGATTTAGAAGTTATTGAATATAACACTGCTACAAAAATCATAATAGATTTTTAACAAGAATCAATTTATGGTTTATTCAAGCTTTCGATAAGAGACACTTATCATCATCAGGAAAAACAGAAAAGTGAAATACAATCTCTCTATATATAGTAAGAGTGCTAATTAATAGAGTATAGATAGAGAAGGAATAAGAAAAAGCTAATAATGTGATCACTAATTGATAATACATCAAAAGAAGAAGAAAAGGACATAGATAGACAAGAGCTAGTAATCTGACTCATAATTGATAAGTTTGTAATAGTTTTATGCAAAGATGTTTAAGTTAAATTTTACGTCATTTAAGGCTTTTCCTTTCATTTGGTGTGTAAATAGACTACTGTCTTTGATAATTCTTCTTCGCCAGTTTGTTTCAAGAGCTAGAGTCTCACATTGTGTAAAATCAAATGTATGCTTTTCTTTATTAGTATGCGTAGCTACATTCGAGGACTCGGTTTGTTTTCTGATGTCCGATTGATGTTCCCTCATTCTAGTTTCCTTTTCTCTACCGGTTTCTCCAATGTAACATTTTTCACAATCCAAGCATGGTATCTTATATACTTACGAATACTTTCTTTGCACTTATAATACTTTTACATACAAATACTTTCTTTGCGAGCTACATTTATAACATATTGATACAATTAAAAGTGTTTCATATTTTTATTCGATATCAATTTATTTATGAAACAGAATGTTTATAATAAAACCCAAGCCAA